GAAGAAGAAAGAAAAGAAAGAAAGAAAGAAAGAAAGAAAGAAAAAAAGAAAGAAAGAAAGAAAGAAACTGAAAGAAAGAAAAGAAAGAAAGAAATTTGAAAGAAAGAAAGAAAGGACCGGAGAACTGTGAATAACAAAGTAAAAAGGAAGAACAATTAATTTGAAAGAAAGAAAGAAAGAAAGAAAGAAAGAAAGAAAGAAAGAAAGAAAGTGACCGGAGAACTATGAAGAAGAAAGTAAAAGAAAGAAAAATTTACTTGAAACAAAGAAAGAAAGGAAGAAAGAAAGTAATGTTGATTAAAACGAAAGAAAGAGATAAAAGAATAATTAAAAAGAAACCAAGTAAGAAACAAAGAAAGGAATTGGAGAATAGTCAAGAAAAAGTGAAAGAAAGAAACATTAATTTGAAGAAAACAAGAATGACAATGATTGAAGAATGAAGGAAAAATAAAAGAAAGAAAACTTAATTTGATGGAAAGAAAGAAGAAAGAAAGAAATGATGAATTTAAACTGTAGAAAACGATTACAGAATAATGAAAAGATGCGAAAGAAATTAATTTGAAAGAAAGAAAGCCTGACTGAAAGAAAATAAGGGATTGAAGAATAGTGAAAACGCAAAAGAAAGAAATAAAGAATGAAAAAAAAAGAAAATGGCGAGGAAAGTAAAATAAATTAAATTGTAAGAAAGAAAAAAGAAATGTAAAATTAAAACTACGGTAAAAGAAAAAAGGAGAACGTTAAAGGTAAAGAAAGAAAGAAAGAAAGAAAGAAAGAAAGAAAGAAATAAAGAAAGGAAGAAAGAAAGAAAGAAAGAAAGAAAGAAAGGAAGGAAGGAAGAAAGAAAGAAAGAAAGATACTCTGTTAACACAAATGATGTATGCTAAAGAAAAAAAAAGGAAAGAAAAGAATCCACAGAAAGAAAGAAAGAAAGAAAGAAGAAAGAAATAAAGAAAGAATATGGTAATCGAAAAACATCATAAAAAGGAACAAATTGTTGGAAGAATGTAAATAAAATTCGTTTCCAAAAGGCGATAAATGCATGCTGGGAACGTGGACGAAATTCTACAACTAAAACGGATTTTTCTTCCCATTTCTTTTTCATTTTCTTTTCCTTTGACATTAAACGAATTGAAATTGCTCATTTTCTTGAATCTTCATTTTATTACCGGATCCGATTCAAGTCACGTGATCTCATCGTTTCAACACAAACTAATTCCACTAATCGAAATGCACTCACACAAACATTGGTGGTACATACAACTGTTTTTCTTAGTACTGGCTTTACAATGCAGCAGTGGTGCCATCCTACCGGTTCGTGTAAACCGATTCTTAAAATTAAAAGCTTAGCGAAACAGTTCTTAGATTATCCGAAAATAAACATATATTAATAGCCGATATATTATAGGCAAAAAATATAATTAATACCATTGATCTGTGGAGGCTGAAAGAGGGTTTTCTGTGATGAACATAATTTATTCTGACAAAATGAAATCTTCTTGAAGTAAAAAATGGGGCAAATTTTCTATTCATAAATTTGATAGGTCTTCCATTGGATCTTTGGGACTGCAGCGATTCATTTTGAATGTGGCAAAGAATCCATAACACGGCCGATGGCACTGGAGTCTAAAAAACATCAAACTTCTGAACAGAAATATGATGAGAAGAGAATTTCAATCTTGGGATATCTTAAATAAATGTTTTCTATTAATCGTTTAAATCTTTTTGATACTATAAAGTGATTTGTTTCCATTCTCGGATTGAAATAAAAAATAAGCAGAATAGGTTCCTAAAGATTACCTGCCTTTATAGAACTGATTTCTGGAAATCAAGGTGCCATTTTTGCAATGCAGTAAGGGTTACCAAGCTAGTTTCGAAGACCAGTGAGTGCCTAACTTGTAGTCGTGTGCCAAACGAAGCTAAGCTTAGTAACTAAATGTTAATTCAACATAGTGTTTAGAGAGTCAGTCAAGGAGAGAGTATTTTATAATGAGCTCGATTCTAACAGCTAGAACCTAGAACCTAGTTTGCACATGGTACTCTCTGTGACCATGAGGGCTAAAGCACAGGCGGTGATTTTTCCTATGAATGAGGACACAGGTTCAAGCCTTTATTAACTTTTCTCGGATGTACAGGCCGGTAGGCGTAATACACACTGCTTAAAAATGTGACATCTATTAAAACACAGGTATCCAATAAATATAACGTTTGAAGTAATGTGTCCACACACACACACACACACACACACACACACACACATATATATATATATATATATTACAGCAAAAAACAAAAATTACCTCAACATGTTTTTTTGCTGTAAAGAATGCCTATGCTCTGTTATAATAAATACGTCGCGCTCTCTGTGGGTAAGTTTTAATAATTAATATTACTAGGATCCACCCGGATTATATATATATATACCAACGGATCGATTATGTATACTATCTATCTGAGTGTCTATCTATCTATCTATCTATCTATCTATCTATCTAATGAAATGGACTAAGTCCGACATAGTATTAACAACATTTCCCGGGTTGAATATCCGAGAAGTTTCATAGAAAATATCTATCCTTCGACAGGAATCGAACCTGTATCCTTCACAGAACCGTCATACAGCCTGACCTGCTACAGAGGAGGCGTGTGGTTAGTAAGGTTGAATTACTGTTTTTAAACTACAAATTTCCCATGATTTCCCTTGAATGCTCATATCTGCTCGAAGCTTATCTTAACGTAAACAAATAACGTCATATATTATGAAATGCACTAAGTCCGACAATTATTGTAATATATTTTCTGTTTAAACCTTATGTTTATTTTTATAGATACAAATTAAGTAAATGCTCTCTTTATAATAAACACTATAAACATTTACCAACCTGAATGTTTGAGAAAAAAAAATAATATAAAATAAAAAATATGTGTCGTCCGACGGGACCGTCATTTGGCCTGAAGTGCTATACCATTTAGCTGCAGAAGAAGAGTCTTGTTACTGTTAAAAAGAGTAATTCGACCTTGCTAACCATTGCCGTGTCCCTTCAGGACGTAGGTGATCATGGCCTTCCACATTTTCCTCTCCTTTGTAGCTCTTAATAAATCTTGTCTCTTTGTTATTTCTCATAAACCCTATTCTGCCCACCCTTTCTACACTCTTTTAGTCCCCATGAAATGGAAACTGTCAGAACATTAAAAAAAAAAACATATAAACATTTTTCTTACCCTTCAAAATCATTGAAAAAGTGTATATGTAAGGTACGTTTATGTATAGCGGGGGTCAGGTTTAATAGTAGGTACCTCGTGAGATTCGCGATAACTAAGGTTTAAAATTAATTTATTTTTTAAATGAAAAATCTTCCTTGGTGCTTTTATTTCAGTTTTAATTTCAAACCAATCGATTAAATTTAATATTTCCAATAAGAAAAGTACTTTGCTGTATTTCAAAACTTATTTAAATTGGCAAGAATGAGTTTTCGTTTGTACACACAAAAATATTTGAAATGTCTTTTTAAAATATTGGTGATTGAAGAATCGTTCTAAGCTTTTCCATTTACGATTAATGAATATAGTTTTTATTTATTAACAACATTACCTAACAGGTACAAATTAATACAGAAATTTAAATGATTTAAAACTTTATAGATTATTCTAATTAAAATTTTCAAAAATGAAAATAATTCTTGTAAAATTCATTTTTCATCGAAAAAAAATCCTTAAAGACAACTAGTATCCATAACAGATCTTATCCCTAAAAGCAAATAAAAGCTTTTCTAATTAAAAATGTTTTAAATTTATTGCATTTTTAATTCACAATTCAGAGCAGATTAGATTGTCGGTAACTGGTGCTCTTAGTTTGCAATATGAAATTGATGATTTAAATTCTCCAAGGACTTCTGCTTTTAACCAATACAAACATTAAGCTGGACAAAATTTAATATCTCGAAAAAAAGATGTTTTGCCATGATTTTCTAAACAAAAAAAATATTTCTAATATAATTTCATTAATTTATGAATAAGTCTTTAATGTTTTATTAAAATGCGATATTTGATTTTTGCAAGAATTTCCAAAAAAATGTTGTTTTTTTTTAATTGGAAAAAATGCGCAAAAACACTAATGGTAATTTTTAGGTCAAAAAACGATTTTTTAACCAAAATTTGGAACGAGGAGTAAAAAATAAAAAAATAATTAAAAAATAATTAAAAAATAATTTGGTCTTTCTTCTTAATAATAACATAAACATTTTGACGATAAAACTTTGTTTTTATTTTGGGAACTTTAAGTTTTATAATATTATAAATTATTCTAATTAAAATGTTAAAAAATGAAAATAATTCTTGTAAAAAAAATAAAAATTTGCTGATTCATAGCAAACTTTCTTTGCGATGAATAATGATTTTTTACAAGAATTGGTGTTCCTTAATAAATCTTATTTATACCAGCAAATAAAAACTTCTCTAATTTAAAAAAAAATATCATAGTTTTATGACATCTTTTATTTTACGATTTTGATCCGATTTACGGGAAATGATTAGTAGTTAGAAAAAAAAAATTGATGATTTACATTCAACAAGGAGTTTTGCTTTTAATTAAAAAAATTAAGATTGCAATTTCATTTCTCGAAATCTCAGGAAATGATGTAATATATGTAAAAAAAAAAGAAGATTTTTAACAAGATTTTCAAAAAAAAAAATTCAAAAATAATTTTATTCATTCATGAATAAGTTCTGAAAGTTTCATTAAAATCCGACAATTATTTGATTTTTGCAAGAATTTCCAAATCAATTCCCCCCCCCGCAAAAAAGATATTAAAATTTTCTGTACCCACCAACGCTGACGCAACAAAAAAAATTATTTCGAACATTCTAAAATATAACAAAAATATAATTTAATAAGTAAAACATCCTTTAGTCGTTCCTTTTAATAATAACATGAAATTTTTGACGTTAAAGTGTGTTTTTATTCATTTGGGGACATTTTTTCATTATGGTAATGCCAAAGATGCATTCCAAAAGCTAAGCAGAGTATTAAGAGACAGAAACATTTCGTTAGAAACAAAGAAAAGGAGTACTTAAATGTTACGTATTATTGCCCCCCTCCTACTTGAAGCAACAGAAACGTGATTCTAGAGAAGGATACTGAGGATACTATGGACATAACGTGTGAGCAACGACAAAGTTTTGGAGAGTCATAGAAACAAAAAAATAAATTTATACTTAACATCAAGAAAAGACAGTTGAGGTTTCTCTAGCCCGCAATATGGTAGGAGAGATTGGTACTTGTGAAGGGAGGAGGGAGAGATGAACTTTAGAAAATGAATGGCAGAACAGGGTTTAAGAGAAATAACAAAAATACAAAACTTACTAAGAGCTACAATGAACAGAAGGATGTGGAGAGCCATAATCGCCTACGTCTTGAAGAAACACGGCACATGAAAGAAGTGGACATACCTATTTAATAAATATTAATAAGTGAGGATTTTATCCTTTAGTAATTTTTTTTATTTCTCTTCCAGAATGTAGTTGCAAGACTGACGCGTGTACACACGCAAACACAGGCATTGATGTCTATACCAAAACGATGAGGTCAAGTTCTTTGAATGCATAAATGCTAAACATTTCCTCGGTTTATAAATAAGATATTTTAAAGAACTGGACATCATTTGATGCCAGTTAGTCACCGAGAGCATTACGAATTGACCTTTGGTCTGAGGATTTCTTTCCTCTTTTTCAAACAGTCTGAAATGGTTGAACTCTTAGGAAAAAATATTATGATGGGTCTTAAGACTGCTTAGCGAAGCTTAGACTAAAAATAACATCCTCGTTCAAGATAAACAATTCTTGGATAATTATATTTACTGGGATCCACTTTTAAACAGAGCTGAAAAATCCGTATCGACCCAAGAATGATTGACTGTTAATGTCATGCGACGCTAAAACTATATTCTTAAGGTAGTGATGACAAGTTTGAAAGATTTGGGAAGAAAGAAGAGCCTAAAATCGTCACCTATTAATATCTATTAAATAGGTATGTCTTTCATGTGCCGTGTTTCTTCAAGACGTAAGCGATTATGGCTCTCCTTTCTTCCCAAAGCCTAAAACATTTAAAAATTCGTTAGAAACAAAAAGAAAAGTTCTAGACTTTTGTGCAATATTGGTCTTCCAAAGTAACAGTGAATGCTGGACAATCTTTTCACAGATGAAGAAGAGACTTGAAGCAACAGAAAGAAAATAGTACTGAACTGTTATGTAATATCAGTCCTCCTATATGTTAGTGAATGCTGGACAATCTCCTCAGAGATGAAAAATAGACTTCAAGCAACAGAAACAAAGAAAAGAGTACTGGACTGTAATGTAATATCATTCCTCCTATACAAGGCGTTTTTAACGTGGGCATTCCGAGCCCGTTGGCTCGGCCAAAAATATGCCCATTGAACCCGTATAAACGGGTTCAGGGCCGGTTTTACCTCCTCGAAGGAGACTCCGCCTTTCGGCGTAGCCTTCTTCGGGTTCCTCTCCGTCCGTAGGAAGAGAGTACAACCGAACAGTGGCTCAGAAAGTACTGACTCGACTGACGATATTTAGTCACCCCCCCACGAGGGTGTCATGTGGCACAAGGCCTTTTTAATGTGGACATTCCGAGCCCGTGGGCTCGGCCAAATAATATGCCCATTGAACCCGTATAAACGGGTTCAGGGCCGGTTTTACCTCCCCGAAGGAGACTCCGCCCTTCGGCGTAGCCGCCTTCGGGTTCCTCCCGTCCGTAGGAAGAGAGTTCAGCCGAACAGTCGGTTCAGAAGTGAATATGGCAGTGAATGCTGGACGAGCTCCTCAAAGATAAAGAATAAACTTGAAACAGCAAAAATAAAGAAAAGAGTAATTTGAAAATCCTACCAAACCACCAACATGATAGAGCTTTAATGACATTAATCCACATAAAATCCATTTAATGACATTAATCCATATAAAATCCTACATTTTCTTAAATCGAACTGTATTCCAAAATATAATTTTAAAAAAACTATAAAACACACATATAACTGCCTCACGTAATTATGTCCACACAAACATATATATACACAAATGCTGAGTATCATTTACCATTTATTCAATTGTGAAAGCAGAATAACATATATCATATTTCTATTCAAAGCTCCCAAGAAAATTCAATTTTGGTATTAAATTAAAGGAATTGATGTGCCGTTAAACAAACAAATCAAATTATTCATACATCTATACGCCAATAATTTTTCTCTTTTCACTTAAAAAAACAAAACAAAAAAAAAAACTACAAAACTCTCAGAGGTGGGATGTGGCGACACTCTCACTGGTCTATCTCTATTTCCATAGAAAGTACTCAGACGAACTACATTCCATGCGTCAAATCTTCACAGCTAGGACCCGCCGTGACACTCACATTGTAGTAAACCACCAACATTCCTTCCATATTCCATCGGTGAAGAATTCCACTTGAACAGCTTCTTCTCACTAACCACTGCTCTGTGGAACAGACTTCCAAGAAGATGTTTCTCTGTTAACTAAAATCTTAACCTGTTCAAATCTAGAGTTAACCATTATCTTCCCCTCATATCCGTATAAACTGCAATTTCATTTGCTTCCTTCCCTTTTAATAACCTCTGATAAAGCCCTCTGTCATCGAAACAACTCGTGATCATTTTACTAATATTTTTATTAAAACTTTTTAAATAATTATTTTAATAGTTATTTTCGAATTCCCTAATATGAGTTGTTCATTTTATTTCTCATAAATTATAAGAGACCAAGGCATTGTCGCAAATTACATTTGTACTCTCTCGGGAAGTATAGTAGGTGGTGAAGAGGTCGAATTTGTCTTCCCTTCATTAAAAGGAACCAGAATTGACCTTGCTGACATTAACACTGACTGTTTGCACCTGGTGAGTAGGTGATAGAAATTAAAACAGATACTCGTTTGTGTGTGTGTGTATATATTTTACATGAAGTTGCGTGTTCAACATGTAAACAATGAAGAGAGAAGCATACAAAAACTTGTGTTTCTACTACGGGCGTTTTATGGTGACTGTAGTAAGACAAAGATCTCAACGATTCTTTGGTATGTCTATTTTCTTTTGGGTTCAGAAGTAATTTATGGTAAGTGAGGATAAGAACGGGTAAAAATGGTCAAGCTCAAGTCAGCCTTGCGCTGAGTTGGGGCAAGCAAACCACTTATTTCATGAGTAGGGCTGTCGAAACACATCCGAACGATGCTGTTGGAAAGTGGAAAGAGAAAGCTTCTGTCCGGAAATGGAGTCATAAAATTGCGCATGTCACCAATTATATATATATATATATATATATATATATATATATATATATATATATATATATATGGGGGATAACGATAACTACATTTTATATATCAAGAACAATTTTGAGCCACTATGAAAAAGTTTTCGTGTGACGCGTTACGACTTCATCTAACTAGGTTTGTTTACGTTCATGCGACTACACATGCACACGAAGGAGAGACGCTGGGAATTTTAAATTTAGAAAAATATTTGCATATATATATATATATATATATATATATATATGTGTGTGTGTGTGTGTGTGTGTGTGTGTGTGTTGAGTATATAATATAGCCAATTTTAGTTGGATTCTTTTTCTTTCTGTTTCGATCATCTTTGTTATTATATATATATATATATATATATATATATATATATATATATATATATGTATGTGTGTGTGTGTGTGTGTGTGTGTGTGTGTGTGTGTATGTATATTATGAAATGGACAAAGTCCGACAATTATTTTAAGACATTTTTATGTTTGTACATTCTTTTTATCGATACAAATATTTAAGCAAATGCTCTGTTTAATAATAAGCATGTCCGAGAAATTTTCACAAAAAATATGAGGTCCTCCAACAGTATTCTAATCTGTATCCTATACTGAACCGTCATTTAGCTTGACGTGCCTTTAACCGATTTGGCCACAGAGGAGCGTTCGGTTAACAAAGTCGAATTTACTTATGGCGTATCAAATGTAAACAAATGACGTCACACATTATGAAATGGACAAAGTCCGACAATTATTTTAATTACATTTGACATTCAGGCCGGTAAATGTTGTTTAATACTGTTTATTATAAACAGAGCATTTACTTAAATATTTGTATCTATAAAAAGAATGTATAGACATAAAAATGTCTTATATATATATATATATATATACTTTGAATATACGCTCTTTAGCGCTATAGTATGTAGTAAGTGATGTTCTGATTTAGATCATTGGGCAGTTTCGGGTCTTTCAATCATCATACTCCTCTCACCAAGTCGATCCCATCGGAGCTGATCAGTCTTTGATGCCCCCCCTTCTAAATTAATAGCCTGCAGACACTGACTTATATGAGGCAAACCATACCCCCTCTATCACGCATTTGATTGGAAGTTGACCAACAGCCAATCGCAATGGTGTGAGCTCTAATTTAAGTTGTTTACCGGGGACTTTTTACTTTTTCTTTTTTTTATGTGGACACTCGTCGGATACTCGGAAGGTAATTATGTGTTTTCCGGTTTTTTCTTTTTTTTACTTTTTTACTTTATATATATATATAACTATACTTTGTATATATATTTATATATATGGTCACGTGGTATGATTTTAGCTATCGCCTATAAATATGTGTTTCGCTTTGCCTCGTTAGCTTGACTTTCCCTGACGATCCGTTTAGATGAAACCTAGGTAGGTTTGTCTGGCTCACTAGGTATATATATATATATATATATATATATATATATATATATATATATATATATATGTATGTATATAAATAAAATGAAAGAACAGTAAGATATATAATCCGGTGTTCTTCAAAATTCGCTTGAGGATGAAATGGAATAATTTAATCACAAAATTAAATTCGGAGCTTTTAGCTTCCATTTTTGAAACATGGTTAGAACTGTGTAGCGAAAAAAAACATATTTTAATCAATTAATTTATAATATATATATATATATATATATATATGTGTGTGTGTGTGTGTGTGTGTGTGTGTGTGTGTGTGTGTGTGTGTGTGTGTGTGTGTGCGTGTGCTTAAATAGTTTTAAAATAAAAAGAAATTTCTTACATAATAGTCTCCACGTAAAACTATGTTTCAAGTACAGTTTATTGGATCCACACTAGGCGTCACTTTACTTAAGGACCAAATAAGAAAAGAAATGGCGACCGTCAGAAGAATGTATTATATTTACTTACATTTCATTCGTTTAGAGATTTTCCTGCTTCTAAATTTATTTATTTATTCATTCATTGCCAACGAAGAGGCAAATAAATTTGCTCTGTTTACTTAGCTTAGTTGTCTATCCAGGCGGAAAGAAAGAGTATTTGCAAGCCGAACTCTTTTCCCCCTTTTTTCGGAATAGCTTTATTTTTTCAATCGATAAGTATACGTTCCTTTTACCGAGTTCATTTTAATACAATTCTTTCTTTCTTTCTTTCTTCCTTTCTTAGTTTGTTCATTTTCTATCTATCTATCTATCTATCTATCTATCTATCTATCTATCTATCTATCTATCTATCTATCTATCTATCTCAGTCGTTTGAAATCTATCTCAATTTGTTCGTCTATCTATCTATCTATCTATCTATCTATCTATCTATCTATCTATCTATCTCAGTCGTTTGAAATCTATCTCAATTTGTTCATCTATCTATCTATCTATCTATCTATCTATCTATCTATCTATCTATCTATCTATCTATCTATCTCAGTCGTTTGAAATCTATCTCAATTTGTTCGTCTATCTATCTATCTATCTATCTATCTATCTATCTATCTATCTATCTATCTATCTATCTCAGTCGTTTATCTATCTCAAATGTTTGTTTATCTATCTATCTATCTATCTATCTATCTATCTATCTATCTATCTATCTATCTATCTCAGACTCTTCTCATTCTACTTCTTTCTATCTCCAAATATTTCATTATCAATGTATATATATATATATATATATATATATATATATATATATATATATATATATATATATGGTTATAGTTGTTCCAACGAGAGAAAAGTGTATATATTAAAAAGAAGAGAGAAACTGTAAATGTTTTTGGGTGTAATGTGGATATTTAAAAAAAAATACTATGATTTATAGTTTCGGCTTGAAGCAATCGGACGTGTAGCCACACTGAAGAGATGTGATACAGCGAAACAGCCTGTCTGTGGATGATAGTGTATATGCTCTCGGTAAATCCGGCTGAGCTCTCTTGAGAAAAAGGTAATTTTAAAACAATGGCTCCTACTGCTATTAACGCATTGCTTTTCAACTGAATTGTGCTCCCCGGAAAACTTTTTTGTTTTTTTTTGTTTTTTTGGTATAGAAAACGTCAAAATTTTTCTTTCTCTCTGCCATGCGACGATAGCCTAGGAGTAGGATCTCTGACAACTCGGTCAGGTTTCGATCCCGGCTTGAAGCAATTGGGCGTCTAGCCACACTGAAGAGCTGTGTACCGTGAAACTGTCTGTCTGTGGATGATAATATTTATATATATATATATATATATATATATATATATATATATATATATATGTGTGTGTGTGTGTGTGTGTGTGTGAACATTAAATATAAATATCTAACGTTTACTTCTCCATCCCTTCTTGGCCCTCATGATTTAGTACCCATCATTTGTATTTGGTGAAATTAGTCGCTGCTTGTGGCGTCTAGCCATACTGTCTATGGAAGACAATATATATATATATATATATATATATATATATATATATATATATATATGTGTGTGTGTGTGTGTGAACATTAAATATAAATATCTAATGTATACTTCAATCCCTTCTCGGTTCTCATGATTTAGTACCCATCGTTTGTATTTGGTGAAATTAGTCGCTGTTTGTCTTCAGAATTCAAGAATTCGTTGATTTTTCTAAACCAGCGTTTTGATGCTAGACAATCGTTCAAAGTCAAAAAAATGAATAAGGCTACAAGGTAAACCGACTCCAGGTAAAAAAAAAAGTCACCAGCTAAAAAGTCACAGGAAAAAGTCACCAGCTAAAAAGTCACAGGAAAAAGTCACCAGCAAAAAAGTCACAGGAAAAAAAAAGAAAAAAAAACGTTAGGCACACAGCAGACAAAAAAGAAGCGGAGGGAAAAAACAGCCTTTTGTACCAAAACTGGACAAAACCCTAGTACCATAACTAAATTGAGAATTCAAGGAAATTTTAACTCAAATTTTAATGTCAAATTCAAACTTTCCTCACATAAAATATACTAAAATTCCTTAATTATAAAATATATCGAATAAGTAACGGTATCGTTGTTAGAAAAAAACTTCAAGCAGTTGGATTGATATACTATCAATTTCTGTTGTAAACAAATCAGACCCATAAACTCAACAAAAATAGATCGTTTTATTACCGGTCACCATAAATTAATTGTAACTTTATATCTAACCAAAATTCAGACTTTTTTCTGTGACTTTTTTCCTGTGACTTTTTACCCCAGTGACTTTACTACCAGCCAGGAGCAGACCAACCAACACCTTGTATTGCCAACTTGAGTATTTCCTTATGATTTCGTGTCGACACCACTTCGAAGAGCTCTTGAAGGTTGGAGATTCTTTTTAGCGAATGTAAAATTGACAAGCTCAGATATAAGCCCAGATCAATCATCATGGTGGATAATTTCAAAACTATGAAGTGAAACGAAAGATAGTAAACATTCGAATTTTTATGATAAAAAGTAAAAAGAAAATAAATGAAGCAAAGAAAAACAAATACATGTTTACCTATAAAAATCATAGCATAATATTAGATAAAAAGGCCGCCCGGCCCGTCACCCAAAAATCAAATGTAAAGATAAGTAAATAAAGCGATCCTCTGCAAAAGACAAAGATCGATAAGCAGGTCAATAGAGAAAAACTGCACTTAGCTTCTTCTTCTTCTTCTTCTTCGCAACACTAAAAATGAAAAAAAAACACATTCTTTTGCTGGCGAGATTTCAAACAGAAATAATAATAAGAATAAAACGCAAAGGCATTGGATTTTTAATAAGGAATTTTATCAAGAAACACGTAAGAGTATTTTACACTTGTTTTCGTTTGCATTCACATCTATCTATCTATCTATCTATCTATCTATCTATCTATCTATCTCATGGTGTTCATATCTATCTCACTCATCGTGTTCGAATCTATCTATCTATCTATCTATCTATCTATCTATCTATCTATCTATCTATCTCATGGTGTTCATATCTATTTCACTCATCGTGTTCGGATCTATCTATCTATCTATCTATCTATCTATCTATCTATCTATCTATCTATCTATCTATCTCATGGTGTTCATATCTATCTCACTCATCGTGTTCGAATCTATCTATCTATCTATCTATCTATCTATCTATCTATCTCATGGTGTTCATATCTATTTCACTCATCGTGTTCGGATCTATCTATCTATCTATCTATCTATCTATCTATCTATCTATCTATCTCATGGTGTTCATATCTATCTCACTCATCGTGTTCGAATCTATCTATCTATCTATCTATCTATCTATCTATCTATCTATCTATCTCATGGTGTTCATATCTATTTCACTCATCGTGTTCGGATCTATCTATCTATCTATCTATCTATCTATCTATCTATCTCATGGTGTTCATATCTATCTGACTCATCGTGTTCGGATCTATCTATCTATCTATCTATCTATCTATCTATCTCATGGTGTTCATATCTATTTCACTCATCGTGTTCCTATCTATCTATCTTTCTATCTATCTATTCATTTCATTATATTCATATCTATCTATCTATCTATCTATCTATCTATTTATTATATCGCAGCATGTTCAAATCTATCTATGTCAGTCTGTTCGTATCTATCTATCTATCTATCTATCTATCTATCTATCTATATATATATATATATATATATATATATATATATATATATACGTGTGTGTGTGTATGTGTAGTGGATTATATACAGCGAGAACTATAGATGTGTTAATAAAGCCACTATGACACAAGGGTTTACTGAGAGAGAGGGAGAGAGAGAGAGAGAGAAAGAGAGAAAGTAAACACTTTAAAGAGAGAGAGAGAGAGAATAATAAAAGAAGAATAAAAAAGACAGAAGACAACGATTGACATTGCATTTAAATTTTTAAAGATCAAAACTCGCTGGAAAGCAAGAAAAAGGGAAGAGAGTTGCACAAGCGAGAATTCCGAGAGAAGAAATTTGTAGCATAGAACTTACGGTTGCATCTAGTTATTGTGTAAAATAATGGGATCATGTCTCCAATCTCGTAATGCGATTAAATTTATAAAGTCTAGGTACCAGAGTAAATTTCATCAGAACATTTACGATGAATATATTTATAGAAAAGGTAAAGGTAAGCTATATTAAAGTAGGTGGGAAGGTACCTGGAACTGAGATGTCAGGTCAGGACTAATAACATTGCAGATTCATCTTTGTATTTTATCAAGAAACTCTAAATATATAGCAGAGGCACAGGATCTTCAATATTTAAAGCATAGACGAATGATTGACTCATGAATATGTAAGATTCTGGCGAGAAAGATTGTTTCGCACGGCACAGTGAAGCAACTCTTCTATCAGCAGACCTAGCAACTGATTCAATGCAATCTCTCCACTTCATGTCAGCGGAAAACGTTAACTCGGGAAGGTGCAATGAGTCACTCTCCTGGGGTTAGCATCAGCCATGCTTATGGAAGGCAAAAATGATTCTCTCGGACGATTGAAAAAGGCAGGTTAAGAAACGTTCAAGGAAACCAGCTGGATCTTCCTCAGATGAGCTCAGAGTTTCCCGTGATGGGATCAGCCTGGTGCGCTTTTGATCAGGTGTCAGAAGACGCGACACCCAACGAGCAGAAACATTCGTCAAAGTTCATTGTACAGAGTCTTCTCAATTCTCTCCTCCTCTGTCTGTCTGTCTGTCTGTCTCTCTCTCTCTCTCTCTCTCTCTGAAACGTATATATATATATATATATATATATATATATATATATATATATATATATATATATATATATATATATATACGTTTCATTCAATAATATATCGCTTTGTTGATGTCTCATTCATCTCTGGATCCAAAAACATTTCGATATCCAGTCGTGTAAGAAGAAGGCAACGTCATTATGGAATCGACTCCATCAAGCAAGACCTCCCCAGAACGAGAGGGAGTATGCAACGCTCACAGTACAGATTCAAGGCAAGTGGGACAGAGGGAAAACGTATAATCTACTTAGTGTCATTGAATAAATCAATGGTTTAGGAGAAATAACAAAAAGAAAAAAATTATAACTATGAAGGTCAGGAAATTGTGGAGAGCCGTGATTGCCAATATCCTGAAGAGACATAGCACATAAAGGAAGAAGAACGGGCTTGAGTTACTGGATGGCAGAACAAGGTTTAGAAGAAATAACAAAAAAGACAACATTTATTAAGATATTAAGAACTATGGAGGACAGGAAATTGTGGAGAGCCATGATCGGATACGTCCTCAAGGGACACGGCCCATAGAAGAAGAACGGGCTTGAGTAACTGGATGGCAGAACAAGGTTTTGGAGAAATAACAAAAAGGCAACATTTATTAAGATATTAAGAACTATGGAGGACAGGAAATTGTGGAGAGCCATGATCGGATACGTCCTCAAGGGACACGGCCCATAGAAGAAGAACGGGCTTGAGTAACTGGATGGCAGAACAAGGTTTTGGAGAAATAACAAAAGGCAACATTTATTAAGATATTAAGAACTATGGAGGACAGGAAATTGTGGAGAGCCATGATCGGATACGTCCTCAAGGGACACGGCCCATAGAAGAAGAACGGGCTTGAGTAAATAAATGGCAGAAAAAGGTTTTGGAGAAATAACAAAAAGGCAATATTTATTAAGATATTAAGAACTATGGAGGACAGGAAATTGTGGAGAGCCATGATCGGATACGTCCTCAAGGGACACGGCACATAGAAGAAGAACGGGCTTGAGTAAATAAATGGCAGAATAAGGTTTTGGAGAAATAACAAAAAAGGCAACATTTATTAAGATATTAAGAACTATGGAGGACAGGAAATTGTGGAGAGCCATGATCGGATACGTCCTCAAGGGACACGGCACATAGAAGAAGAACGGGCTTGAGTAAATAAATGGCAGAAAAAGGTTTTGGAGAAATAACAAAAAGGCAACATTTATTAAGATATTAAGAACTATGGGGGACAGGAAATTGTGGAGAGCCATGATCGTATACGTCCTTAAGGGACACGGCCCATAGAAGAAGAACGGGCTTGAGTAACTGGATGGCAGAACAAGGTTTAGGAGAAATAACAAAAAGACAACATTTATTAAGAACTACGAAGGACGGGAAATTGTGGAGAGCCATAATTTGCATATAGAAGAAGTTCTTGTTTATTAGTCTGTATTATTTAACAGACTAACCTGGATCCATACCAAAATAGGCATTGCACTGCGTGTTCTTTAGAGTTGCCAGGTGCACGACTAGCCTGTAGGATGATCCCCTAGGCCAGTGTGGAGGTCCGCGACTCACCCGATGATAATGGCGTCCCCGACAGGTGAACACGTGTCGGCCTAGTTGCACTTGGGTCGCAACTCATGAAAAGGAGAGAGATAATGAGTTGATAGAAAGTGAAGACAAACAATGCTATGAGTTACAATGGATAGGAAGTTGTGGAGAGCCTCGACCGTCCACCTACCGAAATGAGACTGTATATAATAGAAGAATGTGACAAGTACAGAAATGAAAGCAATATATATCTTGGAATGAAAAAAAAAAGCCCAGAAGGCTTACGAAGACGGGTGAAGTTACAAAGTGCCGAAATATACGGAGGAAGGCAACAAAGAATGAAGCTGTATTGTAGTCCGGTTCAGATTTGACTTCAGTGGGGGCTTTCTAACCAGGGATGGAGATTTGCGTCTCTCAGGGTGTCAGTAGCTTATTCCGAAATGGTAATTGACTCAGCTGCGCCTAAAACAAATACGTGTGGGAAAGCAGCGTGTAACAGGTAGATATATAAACACCCACCCTAGAGGAGAGTTACAGATGAGAATATAGGTTCCATAAATAAAGGTTAATGCTAAGTATGAGAGATTAAGTTGAGTGTCATCCTTGGTATCGATAACGCCACTGATGCAACGAAGAGGACATATAAACACCCGCCCTAGAAGTGAGAGATGATTCCATCCACGCGAGAATATAGCGTCCATGAATTAAGTATGACAGATTAAATCTCGTATTCTTCTTGGTCTGCGCATCAATAATTTTACAAGGCTACAAAGTTGGTGATACAACCAAGTAGATTTATAAACACCCACCCAAGTGTAGGGGGAATTAGGTTGTAAGGTCCCCGTTCGGAGAAGATCTCTGGACTACACACATTTTGGTCGACGAAGTACGGAATTTAATAAAGTGTATAAGAGATAGCGTGCTCTCAATCATCGAATCAGTAATAATGTTGCAAGGCTACGAACTTCATGATATAACTAGAGAGTCCTAAAAATGTCCGTCCTGGGTAAGACGATTAACTACCTCCGGCAGCAAGGCTTGTGATCGGGAGGTTTTGAGGAGCAAGGAACCACCTTTTAATTGCTGCTGTTCCCAGGTCCACCGTGACCCTGCGTTGTAGCACCTGTTAGGGTCCCAGATATGAACAAATACTGATCCCCCAAAAAGGGATCAAAACATAATGAAAGTATAAAAACTAATTTTTGTAGTAAAAATAACGGCAATAATTTTTTGGAAAAGATATTACCAACAATACACAGTCCTGGGTATGAAGATAAACTACATCTGACAGCCGTCCTGGATAAAGTAAATCCGCGTCCTGGGTAAGACGATAAACTACATCCAACAGCAAGACCTCTGATCAGGAGGTTTTGAGGAGCGTGGAACCACCTCTTAATTGCTGATGTTCCCAGGTTCACTCTGACCCGGGGTGGTAGCACCTGTTAGGGTCACAACTATGGGCAAATAGTTAACCCCCAAACTGAGGTCAAAACAGTATGAAAGTGTAAAAATGGGTTTTAATACCGGCTATAAAATTTTGAGGAAAAATTATTACCAGCAATACATTTTTGAAGAAAGTAAATATTACCAGCAATACATTTTTGGAAAAAATATTACCACCAGTACATTTTTGAAGAAGAAAGTATTACCAACAATACATTTTTAGAAACAATATTACCACCAATAAAAATAACACATTGAGATTGATATACCGTAAAACCAAACCAAACCGAAAAAACCAAACCAAACCAAATCAAGCCAAACCAAATCAAGCCAAACCAAACCAAACCAACAATAGATTTTTGAAAGAAAAAATATTACCAGCAATACATTTTTGAAAAAAATAAAAATATTAACCCTAGGATGGCCGAGGTGTCGTTTTCGATACCTTCAAGTTTTCAACAAATTACTATGGAATAACTAGTTTTGGTTCGATGCTGAGGCTTATGGACAATTATTGAATTTTAGCAAAGATGCTTAACAGACATTATTCTTTAAAAAATATTCAGTGGAATAGCTGATATTTTGAGGTTTTACCTTGAATGGTCGAGGTGTCGTTTTTGACACCTAGGCTATTTATAAGGTAAATGCATTGACAAATTTCTCACAAGCAATAATACTTGTGTTTATGTCCCCTATCTATCTATTTATCTATCTATCTATACACACACACAAACATAATTTATATATATATATATATATATATATATATATATATATATATATATATATATATAATCACTTTCTTTCAGTATGAGGTATACTAATATTTGTGAATTTCTTTTCAGACTTGTTATTCCTGACTTGAATATTGAATATATTAAAGATGGCTGCTTCACGGCGTAATGGAAGTAAAGATGTCTATACTGCTGAAGAAACATTGAATATTCTTTTCCAATCAGAAGGTGAAGTTTCAAGTGATGATACTGACAAGGAGTTTTTACCGCAAAAAGAATTTTCTTCAAGCTCGTCAGATTCTGATGACTCTCAAGATGGTGAAGATGAATCCACTAGACAAGCAAGTACCTCTTCAGATATACAAGCTAGAATCTCCGCAGATAGAAATGCTATCATAAAACGGCATGGATTTACCTGGGAACCTCTATCGTCATCCCGGAAAGGAAGATATAACCAAAGTCAGGTACTGAAAGGTACTCCTGGTATTTCAAAAACTATGAAAAATGTAGCTGCACAATCCCCATATTCTGCTTGGAGAATCTTTATTGATGAAACTATGCTACGGAAAATTCATAAATGCACAATCAATGATGGGAAAAATCATGATAAAAGCTTTGTGTTATCCTTAGAAATGTTGGAGGCCTACATTGCTTTGACATATGCAAGGGGAGTGTACGGAAAAGCTCACAGCGCAGATTTTTTTGTGGAATTAAACCTATGGACCAAAAATATTCGAAGAAACCATGTCTAGAAATGATTACAAGAAAATACAAAGATTTATTAGGTTTGACAACAGAAGCACAAGGTCAGAGAGGATCAAAAGTGACAGATTCAGTTACATCAGAGAAATCTTTGACCTATTTGTTGAAAATTACAAAGGTGCCTATATACCAACATATAGTTTGACAATTGACGAACAGCTATTAACCATTAAAAACAGGTGCCCATTCATTGTATTTATGCCAAATAAACCTGATAAGTTTGGAATGAAATTTTGGGTCCTTACAGGGGTAGAAAACAAATACATTATAAATGTGATCCCCTACTTAGGAGCCATGGAAAAGGAATCAAGATTAGGGGTTCCTTTAGCGGAACATGTGGTGCTCAGCCTTACTGAAATAGTGAAGAACAAAGGCTATAATGTAACAACAGATAACTTTTTTTTACATCTTATGAAGTTGCAAGGAAACTGCAAGATAGAGCCACTTCAATTGTCGGTACTGTGAGGGGAAACAGCAAGCATCTGTCAAAAGAAATGATTTTAC